GATACAGAGAAAAACCCAACAATCATATGACCCCCTATGAGCAGCACTTTGGCGACAAAGTTTCCTCTTTAACAATGAATAAACCATCACATCATCGGAAACGAGTCGAATTTCCCTAATCGATCAGTTTACCCCAGAAGGTGGTAACAGGTCAGGCATCAGAGTCAGCTGACAGGAAGTTTGCCAAAGCGACGAATCAACTGTCAGAAACCTGAAGAGGTCAATGACATAAAAACAGCTAAGAGAATAAAATGTAACGTCAGGCGTCTGTAAAGGCACACAGCACCCCTACTCTGATCAATAATCAAACTGATCGGGACTTCACTGTGCTGATCATCCTCAGTCCCTCCACCATAAGTGGCTATTTGCTTTCTGATCAATCAGTCCTGTTCAATCAGCTGCATGTGGATTGATGCCTTCAGCCCTGCAGGAAGTCCTCTGAATCAAACTTTATTAACACAGGAGAGAAGCGAACACCACTAAATATGACCAAACAGAATAATCAATCATCAGTACTGATCGATAGGTTTCATTAATTCAGTGCTGGGTTTGTTATTTTACCAATAACACACAGGTTGGTCGATAATCGATATTCTGACCTACAGCAGATGCATCAGAGCAGCCTGGAGACGCTCCAACAGACCTCACGCCGAACTGCATTGAAAAATCTGCTAAATTAAGACTAATTAGCAGACGTGTCAGTGTGAGGGGACAGCACGAAGACGGCCGCTGCAGAAGAAAACCAGCGGAACATCTGGACCATGAAGACCGACCGAGAACAGCCCTCAGGCACGAGCCAGCAGACACGAGCCCGCCTCTAAATGTGCGATTTTTTCGAGTCCGGCTGCTCATCAGCAACACGCCCCACACCGAGCCGCCTCCTTAAATCACAGCTTTTCTGAACAGGCTTCTGCACGGCGCTATTACACACACACACACACACGCACACACACACAGGTAAAAAGGATACAGGTCAGGTCCAGGTCGAAGCCGTCCTCCTGGTACCGCCTTTTGTTCCTGCTCACAATCCCCCGGATTCTGATTAAGGCAGCCATCGCTGCGCCCCGGCCTCCGGTGAGGTCTGTCAGCGGGTCAGAGATCACCGGGAGACGGTCTGTTTTACTGCGGAGCCTCAGCTGTCTGGTTACCCTGGTAATCCTGGGCAGCTAGCTCGCAGCTAGCCGGCCTCCAGTCCCGCGATTTCCAGATTTAAAGAATAACCCGCAGAAAAATAAAGCCCAAATAAAATCCAGTAGAAACCTCGACCCGAAGCAGCACGAATCGGTCCCTTTATCCGGCCTGCTCGCTGCCTCCCCGAGCCCCGCTCTGGATGGATGCTAGCCGACCTGCTAGTAGAGATGCATCCGGGCTGTCGCTGCTCTTTTATGGATCAGAACAGGGGAGCTCCGAGGCCTCCTCCCCGCTCCCGCAGCGGGCCCGGGTTTCCAGGTCCCCTGCCTGCAGACAAAGACCATCTGCGGGAGGACGGCCGGTGCGGAGCCGGTCGTCCGGACGTATCCAGCAGAGCTGTTCCCGGCCTATGAGCGCAGGAGAGCCGCCGTGGCTGAATGCAGGTGAGTGGAGAGAAACCCTCTCCGCCTCGGTGCCTTTGAGCAGAGCGACTAGACGACAGTTACGCATGCGTCAAGTCTGTAGCAGGACAGCAGGAGAGACGTCCACATCCGCCTGCCTTCAAAATAAATGACCTACCTCAAATGACTTTTTTTTTCTTAAGCGTTTCCGCAAATGAATTTAAACACTATCATACAAAAAATATATTTTACGTCCGCAGTACAACCTAAAGACTTTAAGGACTTATGTGTTCCATTTATTCAAGTTATTTAAGTATTTTTTAATGAATCCATCCCAGTGGTGGGTAAATAGTTAAAACACTTTTGAATCTTTCAAGAAAAATATTTAATATTTAAAACAGCAGCAGAACAGCAGATTTACATCCACTCATCATCAGAGGGACAGAGATGCTGCCAAATATACCTATGGTGATAATAATCATAATAATAATATAAATTCCTGAAACATACTCATACATATTTAACGTTGTTAGTATTATTGCTACTGTACAATATATATCAACAGCTATTTCAGTTTGTTTTATGTTATCAATACATACATTTTTTTTAATTCTATCCTTAATTAGATTACTGTTTTTTCTTTAATTTTCATTTTATGTAGTCTGAATTAATTATTTCATTTATACGTATATAATTTAGTCATGTTTACTTTATGTATGTATTAAAAAAAGAAAATTGATAAAAGACGTCATTAAATGACGTGTGCGGGTTACATAATTCACTGTACATCGCGAACTTTGCTTTTATTTTGTAAAGCTGCACACTTTATTTCGGTGGGTCACCTTTCCTGACTTGACGATGCTAACTTGTTAGCGGCTAGCTGCGCTGCAATGGTTGGTTGCCATGTTGTGACGCCGTCATCCTCCCATTCAGAAAAACTCTATGAATACGTAATGACCAGGAAACCTGGCAACCACCGGAAGTTACATAATGCAGCATGCCGTCCCAGCAGAGGATGGAGTCCGTTTCAGCAGTTTTTAAGGAGCTGAAACGACGTGAACATGCTGCTGAAACGGAAAAGTTGCGTTTTTCCACAGAAGCGTCTCGTGGAGGCGGCAGAGCTTCAGCGGAGCCACAGCGACCCCTGGTGGACAGACGTCGGCGCGGAGATGCGTTCTCACATTTACATTTTTTCTGTAAACTCTTGTCTATGTTTGTTGTTTGCGAATGAATCACGTTTGCGTAACTTTTATTAATCAAAATGTGAAAAATTCATATTCATTGTTTACAATACAATTATTACAATCAAAACAGCTCACAACAAACACAGATGTTTACATCAGCGCTGTAATTTGCACTAATCAACCGAACAACTACTACTGTTATAACTTGCACATTACTTTTCTCAGTTTATATATACTAACTTACATGTTACATGTCTACTTGTCAATGAATAGGTACAATACACAATCTGTACTTTTCTAATTATTCTAAATATTCTTAACTATTTAAACATCTTTCAGTATCCTGCTCAATTTGCACACTACAACCTGGGTTTGCCACTTATCTGTACTCTAACTATAAAAAATGTACAGTACTCTGTTTTGGTAACTATTTCCTATTTTCCTATTTCACTGCACGGCAACCTGCACGTGTCGAATAAAGCCTTGATTGATTGATTGATTGATTGATAACTCTTGTCCATGATGGAAATATGTAAAAAGTTTGTGTTTCTGTTCTATATCCTGTTCTGTTTGTATATGTGTTTTCTTGCTGCTTTTACAACCAAATTTCCCCCTGTGGGACAATGAACGGATTATTCTATTTTATTCTATTCTAGGTGACGACGTGTTTCGATTTTGCCTGCAGGGGGCGCAGCAGAGTCGTGAGTTAAATAAAACGTAGAAGACGACGACAATCCACATCCGGCTGTCACTGCCGTGCCGCAAAGGAAGAACCAAAGGAATATCTGGACAGGTGAGCGCGATTCTACCTGACAGAGGAGCCGGGTGGAACTGGCTCCTCTGCTACAGGTGCCGGTGCTGACGGTGCTCTTCGACGGAGACTCGCGTGTCTTTATCCGCCCGGAACCGCTCCGTGAGGCCCTGCAGCTTCGAAGGTCAAGCTAATGCTAAAGCTAAAGCTAGTCCTTTCGGTTTTACCGTGTGAGCACCGCGGGGTCCAGACTGTGTCCGGTTTTAAAAGATAAGTTAGAGGTTCCGGACCGTCAGGTGTTTGTTTTCCAGAGCAGCAGGTCTCTGAGCTCAGGTGTAGACGATTATAACTCATGTATGACCTGAGGTCAGCTTTCAGCCTCGCGCTGAGAGAAGGATGTGTGCAACCTCAGCTAACCCGCATCACCTGTACGTCAGCGATGCTGTTAGTTATAGTTATTTTCTATTTTATATAAAGTGCACTACAGAATAGCTGCTGTCATGCGCAGTTATGCCTCCGTTTGCAACCACGTGATTGAAACCATACGAAGGATAAAAGAGCTTTGTTGTCCCACAGGGACGTTTATCCTGGACAAACAGCAACACGAGCAAAAATACATACACAACATTCATGTGCGCCGCCATCTTTAAACTGTTTTGCAGCTGCTTGCTCTGTAACCTCTGCGGCAAAACCAGACATCAACCTCATCAACCGTTGTAGCTGTCAGAAACCAAGACGTGACCTGATGTAACAATGTTCACATCTCATCATTGATTAAGAGAATCGTATTTCTGAGCCCACCACACTCTGTTTGAAAAATGGCTGATTTCCAGGACCTTTAATCAGGGTCGATCACCAAGCTGAACATCCAGCAGTTTTCAGTTGAACTACTCACAGAGTCAGCGGGAGATGATCCAGTACAGTGACGGTCCCTGCACCGAAACCTCAGCCCTGAGCATTTATTCCACCTGAGTGATGGGGGGCCACATCCACCAGACTCCATTTCAAATTTGGGCTGTTTAGCATTTCTGTAACATTCTTTCTTCAAACATCACATCATGACTGAAGGTCAGCAGCTGTTTGGACCAAACCCCCTTTAAAAACCTGCCACTTTAAGCTCCTCCTGCTCCCCGGTAGTTCAGGTCTTTGTGTTCACGTCTGAAGGAGAACCTGAGCTCAGGTGTCACACCTGCTCATGACTTCTTCGTTTGTGTGGCAGGAGCTGCTGAGCGCGACGATGGTGCTGAGGGAGGTCCCGGCCGAGAACATCGCCCGTCCTCTGGGCAGGAACGAGGTCATCGGCCTCCTTTTCCGCCTCACCATATTCGGCGCTGTCACCTACTTCACCATCAAGTGGATGGTGGACGCCATTGACCCCACTAGGAAGCAGAAGGTGGAGGCTCAGAAACAGGTAAGAGCAAGCGAGCAGCTGCATGTTTGATCTTCACAGGTGGCTCGGTCTCTGATTGGTTCCTGGTTTGGTGTCTTTCAGGCCGAGAAGCTGATGCGTCAGATTGGCGTTAAAAACGTGAAGCTGTCGGAGTACGAGATGAGCATCGCCGCTCACCTGGTGGACCCGCTGAGCATGCAGGTAACGCCTCGTGTTGTTAAACTGAAGCTGTTAGAAACCGCCGACGGCGGCGCCATGAGGAAACGGGAAGCGTGTGGTTTCTTTACCTGCACGTCACATACACCTTCTTCCTGCATGCAGATCACCTGGAGGGACATCGCAGGTCTGGACGAGGTCATCACCGAGTTAAAGGAGACGGTCATCCTACCTGTTCAGAAGAGACACCTGTTCCTGGGATCCAGGCTGCTGCAGCCCCCCAAAGGTCAGAGGTCATTCACCTGCGTCCTGTTTTAGAGTCGTCAATAAAGCTTTATACAGAAGGGAGCAAGGAAGGAAAGGAAATAAGGAAACGTGAAGGTAAACTGAACGTGGTCTTGGTAACAGGCGTGCTGCTGTACGGACCGCCGGGATGTGGGAAAACACTGATCGCTAAGGCAACGGCAAAAGAGGCGGGGTTTCGTTTCATCAACCTGCAGCCGAGCACACTGACGGACAAATGGTACGGAGAGTCCCAGAAACTCGCCGCCGCTGTGTTCTCATTGGCTGTCAAACTGCAGCCAGCGATCATCTTCATCGATGAGATAGGTGATGAACACACACGAACACGCACACACGCACGAACGCGCACACCCAGGCACACACACACACACGAACACACACACGCACACACACACGAACGCGCACACACACACGAACGCGCACACGCACACACACGCACACAAAGAGTGAAAGCTGAGCCGGAGAATAGAAAAAGTAGAAACGAGTAAAAACCTCGCCGCGTGTTTGCAGACTCGTTCCTGCGGAGCCGCTCCAGCTCGGATCACGAAGCCACCGCCATGATGAAGGCCCAGTTCATGAGTCTGTGGGACGGGCTGGACACGGACCACCACTGCCAGGTACGCACACCTGTCTGTCACATGACCTCAGCGGTGACGGGGTGTTTCCTCCTAGTAAAGATGTTTCCACATGTTTGTGTCACAATGACCTGAGGGGGGCGGGGCCACTGTGCGTGTCTGTGTCAGGTGGTCATTATGGGCGCCACCAATCGCCCCCAGGACCTGGACTCTGCCATCCTGCGGAGGATGCCCACCAGGTTCCACATCAACCAGCCTGTATGTGACTTTCAAAATAAAAGCCTCAGAAGTCTTAAAAGCAGGGGGCGTGCTGACGGTGTGTTTGTCCCCGCAGAGCGTGAGGCAGCGCGAGCAGATCCTCAGGCTGATCCTGGAGAACGAGAGGGTGAGCGCACGGGTCACGTGACCTTTTCATCATTCTGCAGCGCTTCACGACAGTCCTTCTTCTTTTACTCTTTTAATGGACGTCAGCACAGGAAATGACAGGAAATGAACAAACACACAACACACGTTTGGCAAAGGGAAGACATGTAGGGGAAAGGAAGCAAGGAAATGATGGAAGGAAGGAGGATGGGGTTTTAGGAAAATGGACTGGAAATGGGGAAGGACACAAGAAAAGGATGGAATAAGGAAGGTAGGAACAAAGGAAAGGAGGAAAGGGAAAAACAGATAAAGATTGAAGGAAGGTTGGCAAGGAAGGAAACGAGGAAGGAAAAGAAGCCGATGGGGAGGAGGGCGGGTCGACGGACTCGA